AACCCACAACTATATTTGAAATACTTTAAGATAAATTAGATATCATATTTTACATCTATGTAATTTTTATATGCATGACTGATAAAAAAACATTTTCCACACATAACCACAGTGACATTATGGCATCTAACAAAATTAAGACCTGTATCTCTTGTTGTTTGACAGCTCTCCTAGTCTCTTTTGGCTTCTCCACCTTATTTTCCCTTGCAGGTATTTTCTCTAATAAATTCATCCTGATGTCATCTCCTCAGACTACCAAGTTAACAATATCTTGAGATATTGACACCTGTCCAGGTAAATAATTTCTGGAAACAAGATGAAAAGACCAATGAAAACATAATGTTTTATATAACTGTAATATTACTGCTCCTTTTCTGGTGTACAAAATGTATTTATGCCCTCTAATTGTATGGGTCTTCTAACATTGTTTATGGTAATAACCTTTTGATTCAGATATCTGCCCTTCTTTTATGCTCCAGCCACCTATGATAATAAGCACAGTTGTAGGCTGATTTATTTTCCTTAGATGACGTCCTATAAAAAGATAGCTACTCAGGGATCCAACCACAAGAGCAACCATCATTGGCAATAATAACAGTTTAACTATATTTTTATTCCAAAATGCTTATATCCAGGTAAAATTATAATAGTTGAGTTCACTACTCTTCTTACAACACTAATGTTATTGATCTTCTCTTCTGGGTGTTCAATAACCAAAGTTTAGAGACCAGAACTAAAAAGGTATCTGGGTTAAGATGACAGCCAATATTTTGGCCCTGACCCTCCAAGGTCATCAACAGTGACAAAAAGATCCAGGACATGAGGGAAACTTCTTCAAGATCCTACATCTTTGGTGAGTCGCCCAACCTCCTGAACAGGGAGGTTGTTGAACACCAAAACAGTAAAGATCCAATAAAAAGTGTGCCGAAGGAATGTCACCTGGAGGAAAAAATCTCCCATGCTTTTGCAGAAAGCAACATGGTCAAGCAAGGCCGAGACATATCCTGATGGCTGACACTGACGGAGGAGCAAAGAGGCTCTATGCATGGTTTCAATCCATTCTTTTAACTCAAGGACTATGTGATTGATTAGGCTTTTATTTTGGCCAGATTTTGGACAAAATATTATTTGTAACAGAACAATGTTCTACTAACTACAAGACCAGTCCCCTCAGCAACTCCTTAAACACTGTAGTGAAATTCTTCAAAAATATTCAGTGGCTTTTTCAGAAAATATTCCCTAAGGAAGAGCATTTTCTAGATATAAGTTCTCTTTCCTCTTAGAAAGTCATGAAATACCTTAATTTTTAAATGATCTAAGATACTGCATTTTAAATTACTTTCTCTCCTCCCCAAAGAGTTTTGAAAACTTTCCACATTTGTCAAATGTTTCCCAGAATTACGAAACACAGTTGCTCTAATTAAAGAGTTTGTTTAAGGCATTTTTAGTATAGTTCTCAACATAAAAATTAAAAACAAATTACTACTCCCTCAACATCTCACTTAGTTTCAAAAGGACCCTCCAGAAACTGTACATTAAGAAATGATATGAAATTCTATCTACACAATAACAAAATAAAACCCCTTTAGCAAATATGAGCACTTCAGAGCAGGAATGATCTCTTAAGAAGAAACGAGATGGGAGAAATAAACACACTATGCAAACTATAAGGCTGGTGCCACATATAGAAAAATATGATATGACTTACTATTTTCTGTACTCTAGGCACACTGTTTATGGGGATATAAATATCTATGTCCCAGAAAAATGGAACATGGTGCTTTCTCGATTTTACCTGATAACTGATTTTTAAAAATATCTTTAGAAGGGTCCTTGTGAAGATAGCAATAAAACATAGGTTTTAATTAGTTAAAATTAGCTGATTTGTGGATCGTCAAGGATGTTCCCCAAGTTGTAGACTGAGTAATCTAAAAGGGCTCTAGTACAAAGAGGCATGCTAATTAACCCGGCCCCACACGTCCTAGTAAACGTGGCCTGTAGTATCTTTCATAATGGAGGTGGCATGGCTTATATCTAGATGTTCCCCCAAAGCCTCATGTACTCATAGGTGGGCTTTTGGGAGGTGATTGGATCACGGGGGTGTGATGCTCATCACTGGACTTAGCCACTGGTGAATTTCTAGCTGAACATGATGTTCCGAGGTGGAGCCTGGTAGGAGGAGGTGATCCCTGAGGGTGTGGCCTGAAGAGTCTATCTCCCTTCCTTCTATGTTCACCTCTCTCTGCTTCGTGCCTGCCCTGACATGAGCTGTTTCTCCTCGGCTGCACCTCTCTGTCATGCTTCCCTGCCTTGGAGCCAGTGCACTGTGGACTGAAACGTCTACGAACTGTGAGACAAAATAAATCTTTCCTCCTTTAACTTGTGGGTGGTCAGGTATTATGTCCCAGGAAGTCTCCCCTTGTATTGCATAACTTGTGTTTGTGATGGCACTCCAGGAACCCGCAGTGCACTTCGATCCAGTGCTCAGAGCTTCAGAGAGGGAAGGGCCCCACAAACACATTTATCTGGCGCCCGGTGTAAACAGATCGTCCTATGCCAAGACCTGGGTTGGCACACGAGAGACCAAATCTGTCCGTGCCTTTGAGCAGCTGCCAAAGGCAAGAGTGAGCAGATGGGAGTGGTGCAGTCAAACAGCTGGGAACCGACACAACATCAGAACTGGTCAGAATGCGGGGTGGGGCAACGGAGAGCTGTGACAGATGCCGTAGAGATGATGCCCAACCTCTTCTTCAGCTCCTACTTTTCAAGATCCTGCCCGCTATGTGTGTAGACTCCTTAACCACGGTTGCTGTCATCTCCCGTGTGATCCTGGTAGCTCTTACCTGTGTTTGCTTATGTGGTACCCAGGTAGCTGGTTCCAGGGGGCCCTGGACACACACACACACACACACACACACACACACACACTCCATGAATTCATTATTATATTATTAATGTAATCATATACTGACACCAAGCACAGCTTAGCTCCTACCTAGTCATCTTACTTCACAATGACAGATCTTGACTCTTTCCTCGAAACCAACCCTGTTTTGCAAACTCATTTCCATCTTAGTTTGTCTGGTTAGGAAGTCTTCTTGCCTCATATCTAACTCCAGATTCTCATGTGGAATCCCAAGCTCCTTCCCTTCCATGCTTTCCTCCGAAGAACAGAGATTCCTTGCCTGGATGCCAGATGCACAGGAACTGATCAGTACCTAGAAGGTGTGAAAAGTGCTTCTTTTCATGCTACCCATCTTCACTGTCTACCTGACATGCTGCCAGCATCAATTTCTACAGATTTCCCAGATTTTGGATCACTTTTATAGTTCTCTAAATCCTTTTCCAATTCCCTTTATTTTCCTTTGGCTGAGAAAATAAACAAACTTGGTCTCACCCAAAACGCCAATAAACTCTGCAGAGCAAGAAAGGGGTTGTCATGATCCCACTTACAGTGCGTGATCTACATGGTAAGGTGTCATGCTAAAGACTCTAGATAATCTCTACCACAACCATTGTTAGTTGCAGTGGGATCTGATGGCTTGTTTCAAAGGAGTACTGGGAAAGACAAAGGGGACTGGTGAGGAATCCACCTGCCCAGAACCACAGCTGTGAGCTTCCCCCTTCAACATGCAGCTGGGAGAACCTCTTCCATAACATTTTTGGGAGCAAAGATGGGACTTTCCAAGGCTCCTAGGGGCAGGAAGCTCATTGCCACTCACGGAGCCAGATCCCACTGTTGGGTGCTCCATGATGAACCTGAAACCCTTCCAAGTTTTTCTCACTAAATGTGAGCTATGCCTCCTGAAGCAGCAAACCCACGGAGATCTGCAGGTTTCTGCTGATTTGTGTTCTAGTTGTTTGCATTTACTCAGGTGTGGAGATGACAGATTTGGGGTTTCCAGGGTTGAAGGAGGGGTTGGAATAGTCATCATCCATGGGTGGGCACCATGTCCAAGTACTAAAAAGTACCACTTTATGGCTGGGGTTAGGAAACTCAGAGCCCCAAGGTTAAAAGTCATCCTTTAGAATGTCAAGTTCACCAGCTCCTTCCAATCACATGGCTAAAGATGCCCAAGTGCTCCCAAGAGTTTGGATGGAGACTTGTATCTCCACGAAGAGCAAACTCCAGCTTTTCCCGTGGGTTGTAAATCAGAAAGTCTGCCTACTGGGGCCAGAGAAGCCGTACCAAGCTGACCTACAACGCTGGTACCATTCACCCCAGAGGCCAGAGGGCACGCTAATGGTATGGGCTCAGGGAACCAGAAAGCCATACAACTGTTTTGGCTCCTAGAGAATACATTTCCTAAAATGCACTTTCTAAAGCTGCCAATCTCGTGTAAGTTGAAAATGTACACTTAATTTCACCAAGAACCAAAAGAAAATTTTAAATACCAGCACGTTTAAAGAAAAGAGTCAGACAGAGAGACAGAGAAGGTTGAAAGGTAAGAAAGAGACATACATCTGGACATATGAAATTTTAGGTTTCTACTGAAGCCCTGGGTGAGATTTTATGGAAAATTTTGGTGAAATTTTATTGGAGGTATATATTCAGTGCTAAAATAAAGACTTCTGTAATGAAAATGATGGTTTAACTTTCATCAGAACACTATAACAGCAAAGAGATAATTAATGCATTCCTTCAGTTTAGCAAGAATTTGGGATACAGTTTTTGTTGTCAGGGTAAAAGGTACAGTTTGTCCGAGAAAGTGGGGAAAAAATATCACACAGAAAGGCAGAATGTCTAGAAATAGACTGTCTCCCCAAGAAAAGACTATAAAAGAGCTTCTAAAAAGAATGAAGTTTTTTCCTCACAAGGAAGCTTTTATTCCTTTCTTCTCTCCTAGGTGGCAGTATGATATACAAAAGAGAGTATTTCAGGACCCACAGGATATTTTAGCATTCAAAATCACGAAGAAGGGAGACTCCAGGAAATTGACTTAATGCAGTATTGAAGTAGAGAGACAGTTGTTTTGTACACAGAGCAGGCTGATACTCACCGGTTCCACGTCATATGAAAAAAGTGCATATTCTCTATCTGGAGATATTTCATATCTGATGGCTTTTAGTGATTCCTAAAAGAAAAAAAATATTTAAAGTATTATATATTGTAACTCAAAATCTTGTAGAAAATCTGTGCCTGATGGTACCATTTTCAAAATTTGCTGCTAAATTAGTGAGTACCAAACTAGTAACTGTAGCATCTATTAAAATGGCTAGTTTCTTTGCTAGTTGACTGATAACCAATGCTTTTTCCTATTTTATTTATATTTTTCTGTTTTAAACAAGATAATCTTTATTTTATCTCCCAAAATAAATAAAGAGAAATGTGCATGGAACAACTTTTTCCTGCAAGATTCCCAACCTCTCAGTATGTTTACTTTTTTTCTTACATTACCATTCTTAGAAGCACATATGAAAAAAAAGAAGTACATATGTAGCAGAGTTGTTATTAAGCAGATTGATATTTTATAGATCATTTGCAACTTGTTTATTCTCCATTGAGGGTATCCCTGCAAGTCAGTATCTAGAGGAGTCACTATCTATTTTCTGCTGAATTTCTCCTTAGCGCACCAGTCGTTGTCCCTAAGCAAAATCACCAGGCACTCAGCCTGTCTGACTTACCCTGACCTCTGCACTCAAGCACAGGGCTGTGCTGACCCCACCCACTCTAGGGAGCCCCTTTGCCAGCCTGGGGGACCTCACTGCATAATGCTCAGATGCCCCTGAGGGGACAAAGGGAGACTGGACAGTTAAGTGACATGCATTATACATCTCTGCATCTTAGCTTTCTCATGGAATGATACCTTAAAGAAATGACACAATGAATTTAAATTTTAAACTTAAATTTGCTCAGTCCTTATTACAGGCTGGCAGCCTTGTTCTTGGTGACTGTGTTCTACAAAATGACCATGAATGGTGAATTAGTAAATATTAAGCCACTGCTGCCAGGGAAAAGACAAACCTTTTTGGTTACACTGTATCAACCAACGAATATATAACCTAGTTTCATTGGTGTCTCTGCTGAAAGGCAATCTTCCTCTTCCTGAAAGGCATAGCATTGTTGTGCTGACACTGAACTCAGGGCCAACAGTGCTACAGCTCAGCCCAAAGACAGCTCATCTAACACACATTTTTTTCCGAAGGCACCTCACAGCCTGCAAGCACTTAGGGACGTGAGGCAGCACTTCAGCGCTTTTGCCTGGGGACTCTTAAACAGCAACATCTCCAAAAGACACAAGCATACCAGAAGAGAAACGTGGCACTCGACAGACTGTGAAAAAGATACAATAGTTGTTTATAGTATGAGAGCAGAAAGGAGGAAGCAGAGCAGCACCTTGCTCCCCAGCTGGGAAACTGAATGCTGGGCAGCACATGTTCTGCTGCTGGGGGGTGGGGGTGACACACGGCTGCGACAGTACTGTACTGCTTGGGAGATCCAAATGAGTTGTAGTACAGCATCGAGCTGCAGAAGCTGTGAGCCTGGAAAAGTGCTGTGCAGTGCCTCCTGATAGTCCTGGGTGTGCACCATGCTGTCAGAAGATGCTCACGAGCATGTGTTTGACTGTGTGTGTGTGTGTGTATGTGTGTGTGTAAGACATTTTCATAGGAGAGACATCCAAGCCTGGCAGTCACACAGTCATGGTGAACAAGTTCTAAAAAATGTAAACAGATGTTGCCAAATCAGTTTCCAGAAATGGTTTGGCACAGGTGTTTCCACTGTTGATATTTGACCATCCTCTATCCCTCCTCTGAAAATATAACTAACATGTTTTTCCTTTTTTTTTTGTACTGGGGATTGAACCTAGGCCCTTCACACTGAGCTATAGTACCAGCCCTTTTTATTTTGAGACAAGGCCTTACTAAGTCTTGAAGTTGCCCGAGGTGGGCTTGAACTTGTGATCTTCCTGCTTCAGCTTCCCAGAGTGCTGGGATTACAGGTGTGCGCTACCACATCCAGTCGCCATAAGATTTGAATCCTATGGGCTCCACTGCTCCTCTATATTTCCCTGTTCATAGTTACCTATGATCCTCATTATTGAAGGGGTAGGCAGTGGGGAGTTTGTCCTTAGAAATCTGTCCAGCCACATTCCCTTGAAAATCCTTTCTGTGCTCTGATTTCCCCTCCTATTCTTTCCTAAATGCACTTCTGTCATGTATCTCCTCTACCGCACCAAGTGGATCTTCTCTAGGTTACCAGAGCTGGCTTTGTTAAATGCCATAATTCTTGCTGTCATCTTACTTGACAGCAAACACTGTCCTCCTCCAAGCCCTGCTGCACAAGGCCTCCGCACACCCCCTGAGCTCCTCCTGCCTCCCTCGAGGACTTCGCCTGCTCTTTTGTGTGCCTGGCATTTCCCTGACCTCTGAGCAATGCAGTGCTGAGATCAGTATTTAAATCACTTGCTGGGTGACATCATTTGTCTCATGGCTCTAACAACCAAGCCTGCTGAGGACTCCTGCCTGCACTCTCCTTCCCAGCCACCTGCACCCGCAGGTCTGACCTTGAACCTCATACTGTGCATCCACCTGCCTCCCTTGCAGCTCTCACTGGCTGGATGCTCGAGGGCCAGCCTCCCATGGTCCAGGGCCTCTGCACTTCCTTGTCTTCCTCCCCATGTGGTTTAGAGCAGGGGCCCCAACCCTCATACCAGTCTGAGGCCTGTAGGAGTTGGGCTGCACAGCAGGAGCTGAGCAGCAGAGCGCAGAGCTTCACCTGGGTTTCCAGCTGCTTCCATCATTCCCTTGCACCCCTGTCTGAGCTCCACTTCCTGGTAGATTAGCATCAGCACTACATTCTCACAGGAGCAGCAACCCTACTGTGCATGCAAAGAATCTAGGTTGGGGGCTCCTTCAAATCATTCCCAAACCATTCCCTTCCCCAGCCCCCAGACCATGAAAAAGTTTTCTGTGAAACTGGTTCCTGGTGTCAAAAAGGTTGGGGATTGCTCTTTTAGAGCTTTCATTTCTCTTCAAATGCCTCTAAGTGAAGCCTTCCTGGTCCTTTATACAGAGAAACCAATAGGTTTGCCTTGAGCTTTCCACAGCACCCCCCTCTGATTCATCTCCCTAGGCCACATCCTTATCTGAAATAACAGATACTCACTTATCTTGCATGTTTTCTATCTTGTATAATATTTGCAGTAGATCTTCTTTGTAGAAGAAGCCCTGTGTCATGTTGGAGATGTTCCTATCTGTTTCTGGTTCTCTGAGTTCTTATAATGAATATGTCCTGGAGTTTCTCAAATGCTTTCTGCCTTTATTAAGACAATTATGTAGTTTGGCTTTTATTTATCTGTTAATATGGTAAGTTACACTGTCTGATCTTCACTCAGCAAGTCAGCCTTGGATTCCTGGAATAAGTTGCATTCCACCCTGATGTGTCATGCTTTTCATGTATTGCTGGCTTTCGCTTATTCCTATTTTGTGGAGGACTTCTGGATTCATGTTCATGAGAGAAACTGGTGTGAGGTTTTATTTCCTAGTATTATCTGTGTTGGATTTTCATTTTAGGTTACTGCTGACCCAAGAAAGGGACCTGGAAGTGCTTCTTCTTCCATTTGTCTTGTATTTTGGCCCTTTTATGTTGTTATCACAAAATACTAGAAACCAGGTAATTCATACAGAAGAAAAGTGTATGCAGTTCACAGTTCTGGAAACTTGGCAGTCCCAGAGCATGGAGTCTCACCTGCACAGCATCTGGTAAGAGCCCCTTGCTGGGGTGTACCATGGCGGGAGCATCACGTAGAGGGCAGGGATGGGTCTCTCTTCCTCTCCTTATACAGCCACTCATGCCATGATGGGGCCATAACCTCAAGACCTCATCCAATCCTAATTACTGCCCACAGGCAAACTCTCAAATAGATTAACATAGGAACTGGGGTTTAAGTTTTGGTACAGAAACATTGGGGGACACACTCAACTCGTAGTGTTTTATAAGTTTACGTAGAATTGACATTATTTTCTCCTGAGATTTTTGGTAAAATTGATCAGTAAAGCCATCTGGGTCTTAGTTCACTATTTAAAATATATATGTGTATATACTTGATTATATAATATAGGGCTGTCGGGTTACTTATTTCCCCATGAGTGAGCTGTGATGATTTGTGTCTTGCAAGGACCCACACTGTGCACCCCACCTCTCAGTCACTTAAGTGTTGTCCTCTGTATAGTGTCCGAGTATCACAAGGCCTGTGTTCCTGCTATCCTTAACCCTTAGTTTACTTAGTGATGGCCCCAAAGCTCCAGAGCAGTGATGCTGGCAGTCAGATGTCACCGAGATGCTGTAGCATGTTTCCTTTAAGTGAAAAGTTAGAAGCTCCCGAGTTAATCAAGGAAGGAAAACGATCTCACGTGGAGATTGCTAAGAGCTACAGTAGGAATGAATTTTCTGCCTGTGAAAGTGTGAAGAAGGAAAATCACTCAGCTCCTTTTGCTGGCCCACCTGAGCCTGCAACTATGAGGCCCAGGGTGTGCTTGGCTGGGGGAAAGGCATCAGATGTAGAGCACTGACAGGCATGCCCTGGGGGTGTTGGAAGGTGTCCTTTGTGCTAGGAGGCAGCTACTGTGACAGAGCTGAGCTCAACTCTCTACTCTTTCTGCTACCAGCTGAGTGACTTAGAAAAACATTCTTTTAGAACCTTGTTTTCTGATTAATGAAATGAGAGTAATAAAGTGCTCTGGCTCACAGGATTCCTGAGGAGATATCGTCCGTGCAGTGTGGAAGATGTGACCTCTGGGGGCCATTTCTCTACGATCTTTCCCTTCCCCCAACCCCCTTTCCTGTAGGTCTACAGTTATTTTCCTCCAGCTCCTAGTGTGTCCTGATTGGGCTCTTTCCTATGTCCTGTGCAGTGAAGAGTGGGCGCCCAGGAGGCTCTGAAGATGCTCTCTCCAACCTCGCCCTGGGCCCTTCAGTCACAGCCGCTCACCCATTCCTCACATCACATGGACCACCCACTCTTCACTCTGCCTCCATCCCCTTTCCCATACACGTCTCAAATTCTAGGCCTGGGAAATGCTGTGGCTGGAGTTGATGGCCACCTTCTCCCTTCTTTCTCAGCTTGTTCTCTTTCCATTTTTTTTTTTTTTTTGGTGCCAGGGATCGAACTCAGGACCTTTGGCTTGCCAGGAAGGTGTGATATCATCAGCTTGTTCTCTTGCTAAGTGTCTTGTAACTACAGAGGAGATTGCAGGCACAGCTTTTCTATCTAGGTGGAAAGCTACCTAAGGGTAAAGCTGTGTATCAATACTAATCCCGGCACCCCCTGCCCAGCCTGTGTGGCTGAGGCATCATTAGGGTCCAGTACAGGTATGGGGAGACTTATAGTGTACCCCCAAATCCACAGAGAGCAGAAAGTGTGGGCCCAGGAAATGAACCTGGCTTTATTTCTTTTCAGATCTTTTAAAGACATAAGCACAAAACAATCCACTCATGTATCTTTAAAATTAAAAGGAAGCATGTGAAATAATAATTAGAAAAAATAAGCAAAAGTGCTATATTGTCTGTTCTACCTTGTAATATGAAAAGTAGAAAAAGACAAAGGAAGGAGACAGGACAAATGAAAGAAAGAAGGAACCGAAAGAAAAAAAACTGTCAGAGATGTAGAAACAAACACTGAGATAGAGAGAAAATCTGCACCATGACTTTTTAGAAGTTCTTGCAGATCTCGTGCTCTGACAGCCCCTTTTGGTCTTAGGTGGAAGGGGCCTGAGCTTGGATTGGCCGCCCCAGGAAAGCTGGGAGCGAGGTCCCTCTGGGGCTGGCCAGCCCGTGTCCAGTTCGAGGGCCCAGCTGCCACCAGCACCAGCAAAGTTTTGTGATCCATGAGGGAAAGACTTGCTGCTGCCACATCTTTCTATTTTTCAAAACTTGCCAGAAATCTTGGTTTCATGTCTGTAAGAATCAGTCTTTGGCCCAAGCAAGCATTTCGGTGGATGGCCCACACTGCTCGTTCTGCCTCCTGATGATAGACTCAGATGAAGGTCTTTCCCTGGTGGTTTGTGAAATCCATACGGGTCAGGGATTGTCTGTGGCCGTGTGGCTGTGTCATCCTCACTGAACGCTGTCTCTGTCACTGCCACAGTTGTGGGCCGCACACAGGAATTTCTGTGCAGGGAGCTCAGGACAGCAAGGGCTGACATCCAGCAGGCACATGTCCTCCAGGGCTGTCCTGTCCCCAACTGAGTGAGCCTCCTGCACAGTCACACTCTGGGCTCTGGGACAGAAAGGGAACAAGGCAATGCCATGAACTGCTCTCTCCGCCCTGATGTGGCACCCACCATGCAGGGCAGAGAGAGCTGTCAGACTCGGAGCGCTTGGTGGAAACTAACTAAATGAAGTAGAAGGAGAAAAGGAATGAGTGGATGGGTGATGTTTTAAAAAAGGTCGGGGGAGCTCAAGTTCTAAACGCAACAGATCCTGCTCTCTGTGGTCAAGAAGGCAGATCGCAGGTTCCTGTCGATGGTGGAATAGGTCTAATTCCAGTTGCCTAATGATGCCCCTCTCTGTGAGGAGTCTGAATTAATCAATATTCAGAGACTCAGACAAAATTCAAATTTTATGTCTGATGATTATATAAAATCAAGGGCAAATATAAATTCCTAAAACAAAAATGCTTTTTATTTAAATTTTAATCTAGCAATTAAAATAAATAATTGCCACAAATAAATTAGTAATTAAAACAAGACATAAAAAGTGAGAAAAACCTGATCTAAGCAGAACAACAGAATGCCTTTTTTAATAGATGTATTTTCTCTTCTAAATGTATCATTTTCAGGAATGGTCTATTGTTCTTACCTGTTCATCACTGGAAAAAACCTAGTTTTTGGAACACGAGGTTACATTTTTAAGAATATGATTAAAATTATTGAATACATGGCACTGAAACAGTAATCATGGGAATCACCAAATTAGAAAGTAATATGCAAAATTTTACCACCCAATAAGATTTTCATAGTTCTTATTCATCCCCAGCCTTTTCAATACACACAAGTGATGTCTATTTGTTAAGTGAAAGATATTACATTGTACTCTTCTGCTTATTGAATATAACATCATAAATACCTTTCATATTTCTAGAGCTTTCGTATTTATTATTATAATGGCTACAATGTTTCATCTGTATTTGTTTACTCATTTCTTTTTCCTAGTTTCAGATATTTCACTATCACAAACAATGCTGCAACATTGTACTTTTTTGATGCCAGTTATTATTGCTTTATTTTATTTTGCTTAAAATGTACTTTAACATTGTACTTTTCAGATTGTTTACTTGTGGCTAATTCTCTGGAGTGACTCAAAATGTATGATTATTTTTATTGTCCTTGAAATGCGCTGCCAAGTTGCTTTTTAAACACCTGGCATTATTTAATGGTACAGTGAATGACTGTATCAATCTTTGTTTCTACTTCCTGCCCCCAGTGGTATAATCGATTCAGAGGACGTATAAAGTCTGATGGACACGCAGACCAATACAGGGATTTATTAGGAAATAGCCCTATTAGATCAGCAGCACCATAGGTGAAGGTCAAACTGGAGTTCTGTCTGTAGATATTCCGAGTTTCCTCATATAAGAAGAGCTTCATCCTTTGAGAAGTTTTGCTCTACTATGTTTTAGAAGAATGAGAGGAGAGATGGTATTAAGTTTCCATAAGAATTACAGCCTCCATGAAATCTATCTAATTAAATTCAGCAAAATGTATTATGCCTGTGTTAAGTACATTTCTAGAAAGAAAGGGAAGAAGGAAAGGAGGAAGGAAGGGGAGGAAGTTAGTCTTCTATTCAGTAAAGATTCATGAGAGTTTTCAGGAATGAGGTGACCACTGGCCAAACGCCCAAGACTCAGTTTGAGCCGTGAGATATATTTACAGTGGCTCATTTTACAGGGGAAATGTTATGTAATATAACAAAAGCTTATAATTTGTGAATTTGTTGACAAAAGAGTCTTATTAGGAGCATAAAAATAAGTTTGATGTTAAATTATTTAAAATTAAGACTAAAACATAATGTTCAGAGTTCCTGGGACATCAAATGTGTACTTCAAGTGAAAGTTAGTTTTGGTTTAATTTTTTCAAATTACGTTTAGAAATCTGAAAGTGCCTCTTGCTATAATTACCAGCTGTTAACAACTCTGCCTGACTCTGGAGGGCAAACTAGACCCAACCTCAATAGGGAAGGGGATTGTGCTATCTGCTCCTGCTGCCTGGGTACTCAGAGCTATCCAGATTCGGCTATCTGCTACTGCTGCCTGGACAGTGTTCTTATTTTCCTGGGGACTTGATCCTCTTCTGGGTCTTCCTGCCTGGCCCTCCCCATCCTGCCTGAGCCCTGCCTGGCTCTGCTGTTCAACCTAACCTCTAGATTCCACATGTGGCTTATGCTTGATCTCCCACACATGACCTATAATCTCTCAGCAACCCTACAAGGTAGGACTGGGGACTAGAGAGCTTGGATGGCTGGTCAATGTTCTGTGGCTGCAGAGCAGAGTCTGATTCTACTGGGGAGAACAGCTGAGGCATGGGGTCATAACCTTGGTGTTGTGGCCACGTCAACCTCTCACCTGGATGCTTCTGGGAAACCTCTCACCTCTGTCACTTTGTTAGCTTTTACTATTTATTCATAAAATACACAGAGCATCTACCATGTAGGGAACAAAATCAAAGGCAGAGCCTGTGATTTTCAGCAGCACAAGCAACCATATGGCCCTGGATGTGATGTGCCTGTGATCTGGGGCCACCAAACTCTATTCCCTCCATTCTCTGAAGAAATCTAAAAGAGCACTTCAAAAACTTTTTGAAAAGGAAAATAGGCTAGGATATTTTCATAAATGTTTCCTAAAACTTAATTATATGCCATCAAATATATTATTGTTGGGGATCAGAAGTTGATACCCCAAAACATGCTGCTTTGGACTTTAGACTCAGCCCCTAGGAGCAGGAAATGCAAGGAGAGGCTTTCGTTGAAATTCTACATAAAGACCAGCTCTGCCAAAGAGGAATCCAAATACTTTCAAATACTTTCATTCTCGCTGGAATGTTATTAAGAGACTGAAAATCAAACACCGTATCTATAGCTAAGAGCAGTGGTGGTGGACCTATGGCACACGTGCTGCAGTGTGCTGTTTGTATCACTGAAAGCTCTAAAAGATTCGCCATCACTGGCCCAGAGCAACTTTGTCCCATGGCATTGTCTTTTTCAGACTCACTCATTTCCCCTAAAAATGTCACTATCCCTGTGAAGCTGCCTACACCCTCCATTTCCTTCACCCTACAAAGAGGATATTTAAGCCTCAACCATTTGGTCCTTCTTTGAGTTTCAAATTCTGTGTGACTTTGCACACATGTATGTTACACAAGTCTATTTGCTTTTGCTTATGCTAATGTGTCTCTTGCCAATTCACTTCAATAGGTGCAAATATTGAGCCTGCAGAGGGAGAACCTCAGCTTCCTTACATTATGCTATTAAATAATGATCTGAAAACATTTCATTTTCAAAAATAAAATGAAATGTAAAAGAATGCCAAAAGGTTTGAACCATGTTGTCATCATCAGGGTATTAAGTGTGTGCATACACATAAACTTACTATGTAAAGAGTTGAACTATTTCATGATTTCTCTACTACCCGGAGGCATAGTAAAGGGCCACTGAGTTAAAACTTGTAGCCCAGAGTCACTGTTTAGGGACAGCCAGGTGTGACACACAGTGAAAGCACAGAACTTGACCCTAAGCCTGCATTTTCACTGTCTGTGATCCTGCACTGGCCCAGGGTGTCTGCACTTCTTTGTACATCCTTAATCTGGCCCCCCTGGAAAGAGCCCACCACTGAGGCCGAGGAGCAGGGAGAGGCTGGAGGCCAGGGGGCTGTGTGCACACATGTGACCTTTAGGCCAACAGTCTGTTTTATTGGTTGGGAAAAGTGCAGCTTAGTAAGATTGCAAGGAATATTTTAAAATTCTGCTGACTGCAGAATGTATGGCTTCTTTTCCATTTCTCTGATTGTTTCAGGTTGTTTCCTAGACCTGACTGAGAATCCCAGTTGGGCTTGCAGGTGCTCAGGGTGCCTTCGTCATTTACATGAGCCCCAGGTTCCTGGAATCCAAATGAGAAGAGGTCACCTGAAGGCAAGAGAACAGAAAATGGGGCGACCACTCTACGGTCCTTGTCTCTCCAGTCCCCCGTTCCCTGCAGCTACAGATGGCTCTTCAAACTCTGGACGCTTCCTTATGCCTGCCTCACTGCTTCACACCTGCTCATCATAGGTACCCAGATATACCACTGCCAGACATCATGGAAGACGTGTGTTCTATGCTTGTGGAGAAACTAGCTTTAACTTGGAGATGGAGCAATTGAAGCATAAGCATTATAAATGGCCAATTGGCTCAGTGGAAACCAAATCTCAAGCTTTTGAACTCTAAATTACAGTGTAGGTCTCAAATGCTATCTACTTTGCTTTTCATGTTTGAAGTCTGTTGCTAAGAGCTTTTAAATGTAGTTTTTGAGGGAAGAATTATGAATCAATCAAGTTGTACATATTGGGTACCCAATAAATGTTTGTAAGATGAGCACACAAAATCCTACTCTAAGACAAAAAAGACTGTAGTAGAAGCCTGCTAATGTGTGAAATGAGGACTTTATTGTGGTGGTTTTTAAAATTGCCTTATTATTTGATTAAAACAACTTCAGGTAAAATATGTGATCAGCCACAAACTATTGATTTTAGAAGAAGGCTGTTCATATTCTGGGCTTCATTACTAAGTACCGTTGTGTGTCTAGCATCCTGCTGTGAGTAAAGCCACATCCTCCCAGGAAACACTGGGATCGTTCTGACACTAAAATATATTTGCACTCAGCAACAGACAGGTCATTGTCCCCTCTCCATTAATATTAGAAAACCATTTCTGCAACTTTAGTATTTTTAAGTGGGTCGAATCAGATTTTCTTAAGGGAGTAATTCTACCAATGATGATTTTTATAGGCAGAAACACAGGCACATTCAACCTCTATGGGACTTACTTTACAGAATATGACTTAATTTTAAAAAGTAATCATTTGGGAGTATGCTATCAACTGAGGCCTTCCTAGCACCAGCAGGCTACTCACAGGGCAGGGTCCGTGTAGTACTCAACTGTAGTACCTCCCCCTGCCCCACTTTTAAGAAAAGGTATCCTTACAGCAAAAGAAAAGGAAATAAAAGTATGCAACTAGCCAGTTAAATGCCCTTTAGGAAGGAGGAGCAAGTGTTTTATGGGTCCACAGATGGGATGGCCAAAGACAAAGGCCTTTCTTTCTCCAGGGACAGAGGTCCTGGCCCAGCCACACAGGTGCTCATCTGCCCACTGGGCTCAGGACCTTCATCCATAAAGCAAGAAGTTGAGTACTTTTTCCTAAGTCTAATACCAGAACTAATTCCAAGACATAGGAGTCTAAAATTTCTGTGTCTGAGTCACAGCAGGGCTGTTTTATGATTGTTCTCACTTAGAATTCCCAGTCTGCTCCAGTTCTTGGGTTTTTTTTAACCTGGATTTAGTTTCTTCCTTTAAATTCCCCAGTGTGTCAGACAAGAAAATAATCAACTCCTTGGAGCTGGACATTTATTTTTGTCCCAATACTGTGCACGAACATATCATGAACAAAGAAAGTTAATTCTCTTTAAATTGGTTTTTGTTATAGAACTTCAGTCAATGTTTCCAATATCTTTATACAGGAGCCCACAATCTTAATGTCATTTAAATCCTAGGGTAAATAAGTTTTCCCAGATGATAAAATAGTAGTATTGCCTTGAGTCTATTCTTGTTTTAAAACATCAACATCACTTAATATATCTGGGTACAGTCACAGTGTCTAAGTTAATACTCCCTGTGCATAGGAGATTTTTTTAAAATTTTGAAATAAGATCGAGAAAGTTCTCCTGAAGTATTCTGCAGGCATTACTGCAATTTTTCTGTAAATGTGTAAAAGCCTCAGGACTTTATCTTTCAATTATATATGATATGCAACACTTGTTTCCAACACCTGCCGAGAAATTCCCGGACGCAGAGAGAAACAGCGCTTTCATCTTATTAAATTAGTGTGGTTTCAATTTCACATTATCTTCAGTAGCTCAGCCCATAGTATTACAAGTTTATTGCTTCTCCTTGCCTATTCTAAAAGTCGAAACCTAAAGTCATTTTCTGCTTTATTGACTTGCAGGAGAAAAAAACTGAAATTATCCTGGTCATTAGAGAGAGTACTTACAATTTTTTTGCCTTCTATTAACACTTCAGAAAAATTGGTCTCGACATTCCACAGTATCACAGATCCATTTCGTTCTCTGTAGATGAATTCTTTATCTACAAGAGAGGAGACAGAAAAGAAACAGGAGCCATCAAGGAACTGAGCTTGGCTTTTGGTGGACGCTTGTGTAGAATGTGTTGAAGGGCTCTGAAAAAAAGATCTGCACTTTTCATCCAAGCGTCCTTTAAACATGACGAGCCCATCTCTGCATCCTGTGGTCTCATGGGCTGCTTCTGTCTGGTCCTCACCGCTCCACACCTGACAGAATGCACAGCCCAGACTTGCACAACCCTTTGAATGTTGTGGGAATTTCTTGGGTGGGACACATGAGGTGGACACCCAGAGCAGGTGAGGAAATGAGCTGCTATAGGGTGCAGGGTGCTTGGGAGGGAAGGGATCGGTGTCCTGCACCTAACATGTAGGGATGAGTCCATGCAGCACCCCAGCAGGAGGCGACCCCCAAACCCATAGCACTAGCTCTCACCTTGTCCACATGGCTCTCTGGCTACTCTCAGAGGGTGCAACAGTTTCTCTGATCTTTTCAGTCTATTCATCATGTGGTTAGCGACCCTGGTCTTTTGTGTATTAGCAAACAAGGTTTTAATTATCCCCTTAGAAAATTAATAAATTATACACTGAATAGTAAGCAAATGAAAGGGTACACTTTCTGGAGGCAGAATTGTTGGTGGGAAGACAGGCTTGCCATGGGGAGAGGAAAGGCGCATCTTTCCAAGGAAAGGTAGTGACATTTGGATGGTGAAGTTGTTCCACACTAAATAGGTGAAGACCGAAAGAGAAGGTACAGACTGAATTCATGCTAAGTGAAGTTATTATAATTCAAGTATGCCTGGATTTTATTGGGAAAACTAAAGCTTATTCATAGAGGGAGATTTTAATTATTTGCACAGTTCTAGGTTAATCCATTTTATGCATTACTGTCAATTATGTGCAGAAGTTTGGTGCTAAGCTTGGCATGAGACTTTCATAGGAAATGGTTTCCATGTATTTTCTAGGTAATACTTTCATAACAAATCAAGTAAGTCACGTTTTTCTTTTGCTTCCTTTTTGCAAACAACCAAGGGTCACCTGTTGAACCATTTCAGTGAAGAGAACTTTATGTTCCAAATTTTAAATTTTCTTTTTGGGAAAGCACTTGAAAATTGGTTTATCAGTTGCAGAAGAAAGTTGCAGAAAAAGGCTATGACTTAATTAAATTACCACTCCGACTCCATTTATTTAAAAGCTTTTACACTGAGCAAATTTCTAAAAATCAAATCCTTATAAGTGGATGAAGATTTACTACCATCAGTTCCCCTAAGAAGTCGTAGGCTTTGCTTTAACCCACCCTTCATGGTATGAATCACCTAGAATAAAATGTTTTTTAAAAAGGTTTTATAATACTTGATATACATATGTTTATGTTAGAAAGTGAAACCAATAAAACAATTTAAAAATTAGAAAACAGGTTTCTGTTAAATCTTTTCATTTTTCTTTTCCATTCTGTGGGCTCCTGTCCTGAATTTTCATCCCTAACTTTTATTATGTATCCTTAAGTAATGTGTTATTTAGTTTTATTTGCTGTGTGTGTGTGTGTGTGTGTGTGTGTGTGTGTGTGTTTGTGGTGCTGGGGATGGAACTCAGGGCCTCACACATCTTAGACAATTGGTCTACCACTGAGCTAAGCCTCAGCCCCCTAGTTTTGTTTGAATTTGAGCACAATAGTCAGTGGTCCTCAGTAATTCCTACGATATTTCTAAGATTAACCTCTATTGGGCTGAGCTTTCAGTTGTCATAGGGTTATATTACTCTAGTATATGTATGTCACAGTGGAAATCAGTTATTGCTAGTTTTGTTATTATTATAATAAATGCTTCTACTATGAACATTTTTCTTCACATCTTTTAGTACAAATGTGGAAGTCTTTTCTCACATGTGTGTACAGGACTGGAGGCACTCGGTCCTGGGTTGCATGAACGCTTACAGCTATGGTGGTTTTGTGATAGCCAACCTGACTTTATTTTGAGCCACACCACCATTCTGTGTTTATGTTAGACAAAACATCCAAGACCCACATTTTCTTTGACAAAAAACTTGTAGTAGCTGCAAGATGTTTTATAGCTCACCTAATATATAAAACCTCCTCTTGCCCCCCTCCCCCCACTAACCTGACATGGCTCTGCTTCTATAAAATTCTGCTTGAACCCTCCCCAACTAAAAACATGTTTGTTTGTTTTTTAAATTGCTTCTCAGTACTGAGAGTTCTTTCTGGGCACCAGTCCCTCTTGGTCACTGTCTTCAAATGAATAGACTCAAATCTGACTCAGAGTGTGGCACATCTCTATAGTTCCAGCTCGCTCTGTTAAAACAGTTGGAGGCCCCAGGGAGATCACCACAATGTGTGCACCAGCCTTGCTGCAGTTCCTCCCATCTGTGGCAGCATACTATAGGGCAGACGCCCCCTGAGATGTTCCAGGATCCCGTAGTCTCACTGCCAATACTGAAGGGACTGTAGAGATGCCTGAGACACCCTCCAAATTTTTCAGAGTCCATCTGGTCTGAAAGTAAGGATCTTACTGGTTCTTGTGGGGAATAATAGTTTTTGATGAAGGTATTCCCCAGGACCCTCCTAAGGTCAGGATTCTGACTGAGATGGTCCACTGGTTTGGTGTGGTCTGGCTGCAAGTTCACCAATCTGGGAAATCCCCAGGGGAGGGTTTGGAATGTTTTAACCTCTAAATGGATGTTTTATGAATGGGTGGATGACTGTAACAGGCAACATAAGCCATGGGCTGTCCCGTTCATGCCCCACGACAAAGAAGGGGACTTCTCTGCCCCTCGGAGTTATGTGGTCTGAGTGAGGTCATACTGTGATTCTGTGAATGCGTCTAAAAAAGGCCAAATGGGTGCTCTTATGATGAGATAAATACACCCTAAAGCCTGGACAGTCCTTAAAATGGCTGAGTGGCCCATGGCCAGCCAACTGACTGTGGTTCTTCCTCACAGAGGAACACCCGCTTCCCTTGTCTGTCTCGACATCATTCAAGGGTGCACCACATAAACACTAAGGGTTTTTCTCTATATCTGGATGCCCCCATTGTCCCTGAACACTCGGAGCTGTTTTGTTCTTTGGACTGTGACTGACCTCTTGCCGTTGGGACTCCTGAGACTGCCTTCCCACCTGTCATCTTCTCCCCAACACTGTCCCTTCTGTGTCTCCTCCCTCACGCTGCTTTTTCTGATTGTGGTGATTTTTGAGATTAGATTGGTTACAGCAGGCCCCACAGACTAGACAAAGTGGCAGAAGTATGTCTTCTGCTCTTTTTATCTGTCTTTACAGCTCCTGTTCTTAGATATTTCCTGTGTGCCCTAAGTCTCTCTACCATGGGGTCATCATCCTCCAACCTGTTATGCCCCTGGTTTACATGCTTAAAATTTTTTCCTTAGGATTTTCTGATAATTACAAAATAAAAATGTCAAAAAACGAACTTCACACCTTTTGTAAACTCAAGTGACCCTCTTTTGGTGTGGGCTGGCCCTCTGAGGGCTCCCTTGACCCTCCCTTGGTTCAAACAGTTTAAAAGGTTGTTACTGGGTCACCAGGCACCTCAATCAGTTCCCTTACATTTATGTCTGGTTGAATCTAGTGCAACACCCTCACCCATGGCAAAAGGCCTGCACCAAAAAGACCTATTCAAAGTTGCTTGTTTCCAAAGGTTGTTGTCTCCCTTGTGGACAAACTCCAGAGAGATGGAATCCAGTCCAACAGCAGTCAGATGCTGAAAAGGTCCTCCCCCATCCACCTCCATATGACCCTTGGCCACCTCCCTCTCCTGTCCACCCGAACCACCTGCCCCCGACTCCTTCATTCCTTCCTCTACTTCTCTCACTACCTCTCCCCCAATCCATGAGTGCCACTGATCCTGACAAAAAGCCACCACCTCGGAAAGTCATACTCCAGAGGCTCTCTTGCCTTTGAGGGATGCCCCACCTCCTAATGGGGCAAGACCAAAAACCCACCCAGTCTTGATATATGTCCCCTTCTCCACTTCTGACCTCTACAACTAAAATACCCCAAATCTACCATTCTGTAAAACGCCCCAGGTTCTGATTTCCCTGATCAAGTTGATCTTCAAGACTCATCTACCTACCTGGGATGACTGTCCAAAGTTGTTATTGACCTTGTTCATTGCTGAGGAGCGGACAAGATTAGGTCTGAGGCTATAAAGGTTTTCTTGGGAGGGTGTTCACAGGAGGAGGCCCGCAGATTGCTAAAACAGGGCTTCCCCTCAGAGCGCCCTAAAAGGGCATCCAAATTCTTCAGGGGGAAAACAGGCTTTGTCACCTTTCACCAGAACTTGTTAAATGAGATCCAGGTGGTGGCTCAAAAGCCCATATATTGTTTAAAACCACTAAAATAAACAGGGACCAGAGGAATCCCCTGCTGTATTCTTGGAGAGACTCTGCGAGGCCTTCTGGGTTTACACCCCTGTTCGACCCCTCAGCTCCAAAAAAACAATAGAGCAATAAATCTGGCCTTTTTTACCCAGTCTACAGCCAATATTTTAAAAAATTACAAAAATTAGAGATTCCCAAAATAAACATGTCTCAGCTGTTAAAAGTGACTCAAAAGCTGTTTGACAATACAGATTCAAAAAAACAGAAATTGACCACAGCCATGGCTAAACAGTCAGCTAAAAAACCAAAATCTTAGGGAGAGCCGTTAGAGGAGACCTAAAAAAACCCAATTCTAACAAGCCCAAAAGACAAATGCCTCAAAAACTGGAGAGACATCAGCTGCTGGACAAAAATCAATGTGCCTACTACAAGGAGGAGGAACACTAAAAAAAATAAATGCCCCCACAGACCCTCTGCCAAGATACCATCCCTTCTCACAACCAGGGGAAAAAAAGATTCAGACTGAGGGAGCCAAGGCTCCTTCTCTCTTGGCCACCAGGAGCTCATGATAAATGTTAAAACAGGGGGCCACTGAGTCCATTTCCTGGTAGACACTGGCACCAAGAGGTCAATATTAAAACTCTTCTATAAAATTCCGCTTGCTCTTCCCTTGAGCCCTCCTCAGCTAAAAACATGGTTTTAAAAAAACCAAACTGCTTATCGGTGCCAAGAGTTCTTTCCAGGCACTAGCCCCTCTCCATTGCTGGCTTCAAATAGACAAACTCAAATCTGACTCAGAGTGTGAAACATCTCTATAGTTCCAACTCGCTCAGCTAAAACAGTTTCACTGGCATCAATAGTGCATAAGATTTCTTAGAATTAACATCCTCTGCAAAAGTAGCCGTGTCATTTTTCTTAATTTATTCCAGTATAGTGGGTGAAAAACAGTATTTTTCCAATTCAAATTTATATCTTTTTTTGTTAATGACTTTGAGTCTTTTTTTCTTCCTTTAGTGCCATTAATTTGTTGAAACCAGATCATTCACCCTATAAAAATTTTTCCACATTATAGATTCAGATAGTCATTTCCTTGTGGTGTTATTTATTTATTTTAATTTTTATTAGTACATGTTTGCAGTACCTAATGGTTACATTCATTCACAATTACATTCATGACTTTGAGTCTTATATGCTTATTTACTATTTTTATTACTTATTTTGTGAAATTCATGGTTTATTTTTTTGTCTATTTTTTTCCCATTGGATTGCTTTAAATCTTATTGATGTTTAGGAGTTTTTTAAACATTCTAAATGAAATGTAGAATTCAAAATGCCTTTTCTTAGCTGATGTTTTCATTTGGTTTATATGATGTTTTATGTAGTCCAAACTTTTTAATCTTTGATGCCCCATTTGAGAAATCTTTTCCTCTAATAAGGTCATATAAATAGTCTCTTGCACTTTTTTTCTAAAACAGTTTTGGTTTTTCCCTTTCATTCAAAAATGAAGCTTAGTTCAATGGAAAATGACTTGTACGGTGTGAGGCAAAGATCTAATTTCATCTGTTTATATATGCAACTCTTTATCACAGGACAATCTGAGAGAAGTTCATTATTCTGTCAGTAATCAATAATCGATAATGTAGCCAAAACATTTGCATTTATAGGGTCTTACAGGGGCTTTTATATGGGTACTGAGGAATGGACTCACCCTCTTCAGTACCACACTGTGAGATTAATGTACTTCTATAATAGCTCTTATTACTTGGAAGACTTCTCTGTCTTGGGGAAGGCTTGTCATTCTTTGAAATTTTGCTGTGCCTTATATATGTTAGGTTCAGCCTAAGTTCCAGGGAATTCTGGGAAACTGACTGAGAGTACATTAAATGAAAAGGTCAGTTTGGATGAAATTTGGCACCTTTCCAATATCAAGTGCTCCTTTTGTGGAGGTGGTTTACCTTTTCATTTCTTTAGGTAATAAATTTTCATGTTTTTGCATGGAAAAAAACTACACAAACTATCAACCATCTAGAAATGAATGTCACAAAAGGAGTGAAAGACCTGT